TGACGGCTGGGCGCATGGGGTTCGCTATTGTCAGTCTCGACCAATCAGCGAGTGGCCCCCGATATTTTCAGGGGCATATCATTAATAAATTAGCAGGCAGCCGTCGTCGCAGTGTAACAAAATGGCGGACAATTCGTCGTTTGAGATTCTCGTTTGAACGCTCTGAAGTCGTTTAGCTTGGACGAATTTAGAGAAATACAGCAAAAGGCTCTTAAAGAGATTGTTCTTGGAAAAGATGTCCTTGTTATTCTTCCTACTGGCTCGGGCAAATCTCTTATTTTTCAAACAGCGCCACTAGTGTATTTTGCTCGTCTTTCTGGCAGATAATATATCCATTTGGATTATTAAACCCTACACATGTTTTACTTGGGGTAATTTCCATTCCTTTCTCTTTTTTAAAGCGCTAACTATTACATTATATCGCCACTTCGCGAAGTTTTCATTTCACATAATTTCCCGCCTTGTAGCAAAACCTTTTTCAGATATTTCACTTCCGTTCACTTAAAAATTCACTTCCGTTATTCATAATATGCTAATTACACAAAAACGTCACGGACATGCGCGACACGTTTCGAACCCCATGCGCCCAGCCGTCAGGGGAGAGAGTATCGCGGGCGCACGAAATCCCGACGGCTGGAGACTGAGCCTATGTAATATCCTGTCTTTCTCAATTTTCACAAGCAGCTAGTCCGACTTCACGCTCCCAGAGCGTCTAGTTTGCTTTCATATGTAACTATACATTACGCTCACTCGTGAGAGATCTTTTCAATACTCGAACATAAAATCCGTATCTCCACGCAAACATGTTACGTCCTCTATTTACGTAATTTATATTCGTAAACAAAACCTGAAAGGGTTTATTATCGAAAAGAACGATGAATTGACATACTCCTGACATGTTTTCAATAAGTCATTTTACAGTTATACCCAAAATACAGACTAAATTCAAAACAATCCTCTCGTAATGATTAATGCCTGTGTCTTTCTCCAGGTCTCCAGTGATGCCTACTACGCGGGGTGACAAAAAAAAACACAAAACAGTGCTTTACCATTAGTCAGAAAATGGTTGGGAAAATGAGTAGTAAAGCAACGCGAAAAAAATAGCAAATATAGCAAGCTAGTTGCTGCGAACGAAGTGAGCAGCGACACTAATCTCGCAGACCTTTCGGAGTCCCTGTGCCATACATGTACATACTGAAGGCGAAAGTCGATAAACACTTTGAGCGCCTACAGTAAACAATACATATAATCAGCGGTTAATATCAAATGATGAATGCGTCGTAAACCGCATGGTCTTTCTTTTGCTTTCCGATCTTGCAATGGTTTTAGTTTGACAAGTATTTATCATGTTAAATGCGACTTTATTTATTCGAGGAAGTATTCATCAAGGTGATAGTCGTTTTAGCCACATTTCTAGGGGAAGACAATGTGCTTTTATGAGTCTTTCAGTCTTTCTTTTAACTGCACATTGTGATGATATTTCGACGTGACGACAGAGACGATCGATCGTGTTTTGGCCAAGGAGATAACAGCATTCGAAAAGCGCTCTAAACCTGATAATTGAATAAATAAATGTAAAAATGAAAAAAAAACAAAAAAACATTTCGAAATAAAGTGTGTACATATACGTTCTAATGATGTTCCTTTTGTCATTGACATATCTTACTGTTTGTATTAAGAAATTAAAATGCACTATTTTAGTAAGAACTTCTCTCCATAAAATCAAATACATCTAAATTTCGAAAAGTGTTACTAAGTTTGCGTATCGCAGCATTTCACTTCCGATAGGAATCGCTAGTTATAGGCAATATGAATGATGCAAATGATACGTAAATTATCGCAAGAGCCACTGTACTGAGGAGAGTGACCTGCGAAAGGAGTACTGGTGTTAAATGATAACGGCAAACGATTATACATACACATTATGCAACTGAATTTCTTTGCTATTGGTCATACTTTCTCTCCGTCATTCAAATACTAATTTGCACCAAGAAAGCGCCATTCCAGCGTCTAAAGCGCTTTTCTATGGTCTGTACGCTTATNTTTTTTTTTCGTACGGAATTCAACAGAAAGCATAAATTCGCAAAAAGCTACGATTTTACACAGAGAAGAATTATTGTTATCGAGAGTTACCTTTGACAAGTGGTGCAATTGTTTGTCACTCCAACTCGTGGTTGCTTGAAGTCAACTCCCAATATGTTCCATAATAACTAACCTATATTGTACCTATCACTACTTTAGTTGAATATTATTGGCTCTTGAGGAACACTCACATGACTGCAACCGTTTTGTTGTCAATGCTACAAGAAGTACTCAAAAATATTATTATAAATTATTGTCGGTCAACTGAACTTCTTGTTAAGAATGTATCAATAACATCAGGAAAAATTAGCATTTAAATTTTGAATTTAAAAAAAAAATCCTCAAATGCGTTGAAATATCTATGAA